ATCTCACTGTCTCTAACTTGACCTCCCCTCGATCGCCACCCAAGACAGCGTTGCTCAGCTGATGTCACGCAATGAACTTTTAAAGCCAGCCACGGGACACTTCGTAGTCCTCGATGGCCATAGTTAGCGCGATGGAACTCGCCTTCTCTCTAATTAGCGCTCCAGTTAGCGTAAGGTTTTTAGCATGATAACAAGTAAAGCATTCCAGGAAACATTCGTTTATTTGACTGTCCGTCGTTTATTTGACTGTCCGTCGAGCCACAAGGAATTTACTCTGAGCAGCTAATCGGATGCATTCCACTCCATCTTCCACGGATCTAGCTACAGTATCTACACACATAGATATTGAGGTCCCTCTTGGCCAATCGGAGGCCAGGATGATGCTCGGTAAGCCAATGGCAGAGCAGCTATGAGTATGTTGCGTTCAGGAAACTCGCAGCTGTGACCGAAATAAACATAGTTCACTATGTAAAGCAGTGTGGTGGTTGCTGTTGCCATTTCCCAACGAAGCAGTAGATGTCGCTGTTGGATTAGACTTCGTTGTAGTGAATGTCTTCGCGAGGCAGGAGCAGAAAAAATGATTTTGTATAACGCAACAGGGTTTTTTTTCGTCGTATGGGGGGCAGGAGAATGGGAATGGTGTTAATGCATAAAGATTTTTTTTCACATTAGGGGGTATTTTCGCCCATATAGGTTTTGTTCTAGAGAAGTTTCACTGTACAGCGAAGTGAAATCATAATACACTATCACGGTACACAAAGACACAGTGCTAAATTAAATCCTTGACTCAATGAAAATGAATTAATAACGAGGTGGGTGAATGCCAGCAATGAATCCTACTGCTTGGGTAAATAATAAACGAACAACAAGGAACCTGTAATTATTAATAATGTACAACATTTTTAAAATGCCCTCAAGGCATGCTGCGTATGACTTCAACGTACTGTATACAAGCAGAGCAGCTTTATCTTGAGACACATCAAAACCAGATCACAGATTTCCTTTTTTTCCAATGATTGAACGGTGGACATCTTCCCAAAAAGCTTTGCTGGGATGCCTACGTCACCTACACGCATGTAGTCGGCAGGTTAAAGTGAGACACTGCGGCGGCAAGTGATGGCAAGCTTAGCAACGAGCTTAGGCTAGCTACTACTGCCTGCTAATCACGTCGTGGTTTTCACTCTGAATTCAGTCATCACAGCCTCCATCATCTCGCCTCTTTGGCGGCGAATTAAAATTAATTAAAAGAGGGAGAGACGGAGAAGCCATGCTAATTGCTAAAATAACGTTATGTCTTTGTAAAAGAATAGACTAAAAACTGCTTGAGTAATGGAGTACACTTCACAAATGGTCTCGCTGGAACTGCGTTAATGCACAACGTATGCATCTTTGATCAGCAAAATAGCAGGCAATTTATTGAGTGCCTGGAGAGAAAATTAATTCAAAACAGTGCTTCACACACAGCTTAACAGTTAATATTAACGCCTCCCATCTGTCAGCCAGGAGGGGTGGCCAAGAAGATTAAAAGTATATTAATAGATTAATATTGAAGATAGGCAAGTCAGAAAATGAATGCATATAGTAAGTTGAATGCTTAGAATATTACAAATGTAATTTTTTTTTCCCCACAATAAAGCCCTGAGTATTGAATATGTCTTTTGATATCTGCGCAATAAACAACTTCAAAATTACATTACAGTAGAGTGGACCTTTTTTATTTTATTTTATTTTTATGACTCAATTTCTCTCAGAAACATTTTTTATGCCTCTCAATCAGAATGATGACGACATTTGTGCTAAAATATCTAGGCTACTTTGCTTTTGATACAAGATCTGTTGAATGTCACTTCATAATGAAGTGACAAAAGGTGAGCAGTCAAAGTGTGTTGTATAATTTTTTTTAATACGATACAATAAAATACATCCTGATTTATATAAAGCTTTCACAACAGCTGCAACAAAGCACTTAACAAAACAGTTACAACATAAAGTAAAATAATAAACATAACACATAACAACCTAACATCCATAACAACAATCCTAACCACTTTTCCCTCATACGCTTTTTTGTTTAAAGCAGTATGAGATGAAAGAGGAGATCGTTATTGTGATATAAAATGCCCTCCCTCACACCCCCCAAAAAATACTTTCGACATCCTTTTGCACATCTAACTAATTCCGCCATGTGGCTCTGACACCAGCACAGCTTCCACAAAATAGTCTTACCACAAAAACATTTAGTCTGAAGTTTTTTTTTTTTTTTTTTTTGGTAATAGTTTCTTAGGAACAACAGGTGGCTCAACCTGCCCCTATGCTGAACTTGCCACCCCAGTCTCCCCTGTTTGCATTTGTTACAAACAAAATGAGTATGATTTAATGACTTGCAATTAATATAGGTTTAAATAAAGTGATGCAAACCTATTCATGACACAATTTTTGGGGGCCACCACATGAGCTACAATCATTACGATGCATCGATGCGTATCGTTGGCTGCATGGAACAAAGACAGCCTAAAAACAACAGCAAAAAGCAGAGCATAATGACGTAAGTAAGTGTGTGTGCGTGAGTCCATGTGTGTGTGAGTGTACCGCTGAAATCTGCTTGCAAACGTTCGGCTTTTCATGACATTTAAGTTGTTAATGATACATCTACAATGGAATGTAACGCAGCAGACAGTATTATTGTCTGAAATGTTTTAGACGAAAAAAATATCAAGGTGAATGGCAGTTTTATCAAGACAAAGAATTTGCTGAGGGCTGAATCAGTCATCATTCTTTTCAACTGTCCACTGCGTACTGTTACTGTTTGTCAATTGTGAAATGTGGATCCGCTCCGGCACACAAGGATGGCATCCAACTACAATGGGAAGAAACCAACCCAAGGCCATGTGCGAGAGAAGCCACAAACAGGATCCGTTAGGTCACGCATGGGTGGTTGTCTCTGTGAGCATAAAGAGCCCAAAAAACAGCCCACTTCATTGCTAAGCGCTACACTTACAAATGAATCCCAGACGATCTACATCAACTTGTCTGGGACAACAGACCAAGTTTTGTTTTCACTTGTTTTATTTTGTGTGGGTGAAATTCCTCCAGACATAAAGTGATCCAATCAATGACGAGACGGAATGAAGAGGGGGGGGAGAAGAAAAGGAAGAAACAGAAGTTGACCTTTCCCAGGTTAACTTTGTGCTTGTAGAATTTTCTATTGTCGTAGGGTTGTTCAATATGGAGAAAATTTTATACTCAGATAATATTTTTCCTTTCAATCATGTGACAATAATGGCAAGTATTTCTCTCACCTTTTCTCCCTTTATTTATACAACACAAATTGATACAGAGAAAACTATCAAATGAATAAAAGAGAGATAGAAATACAATAAAACAAACCCCGGTGGAAAAATCCCATTTAAAATAGTTTGGAGCACAACCAGTTCAAGGAATGTGCATTGTTGATGTGTACATATTCTGTGATGGGTTCAACAGGGTCATTCTACGTTATATGTTAGGCATCATTTGAGCATCTCAAGATTTCAAATCTTCCGTGGTACTTCAGTCCCCCCCCCCCCATGCAAACATTAATAAGGAATTTTCCAAAGGGGATAGAACTTTGCAAGCACAAGTTGCTCTCTTTGAAAGGTCAGGCAGAAAAGTACACACAGTTGTTACCAAATTGTGCCTCTCTACAGTATATCATCCGAGACATTATTAAAAATGTGTGTGTATACAAAAAATGTGTCACTGTGTGTAAGGGATCTGCAAAAATGCCTTATTGGAAAACGGTGTACTTGCCAACCCAGACAAGTGATATTACAATTTGTAAATTACTCCACTTGGATGATTTAGCCGACCAGAAACCACTGCACAAACATGTTTTTTTTCCTCACTGTCAGCTGCTCACCTTGATCAAATGAGCATACTGGATGCCTCAAATACTTTGAGTTCTTTCAACTCGCGCTGATGACCCAGTAACTCACACCTTAAAGCAGTGTTTTTCAACCCGTGTGCCGCAGGAAAATATCCAATTTGTATGCCTGTGCGGTCTTTCGCCCAGAAAGTAATCATGTAGTACCCTCCCATACCACTAGGGAGCAGCAACAGCTAGCCAATTGCCTTGTGTTTCGACGAGAGACAAGCGAATTTGTGACGCATGAATGCAGGACGACGTTGAAACAAGAAATGTGAACGATGATAAAATACTGTTTTCTTTGTGTTCATTTGATTCCAATTCAAGCTGTTATAACGTCATTCTTAAATGTTAAAAACTGTTATAGTAACAATATAACATGTTATATTGGGGGGGGGGGTTCACATTTTCAGCTAGTGGCGTGCCGCAAGATTTTTTTCAATGAAAGAAGTGTGCCTTGGCTCAAAAAAGTTTGAAAAACACTGCCTTAAAGCATGCTGAGGAGAGCAGACACAGGCAGAGAATGTCTCTTACTTACCAACAACCATTAATGTAAACTCGAAGCCTCTTTTCACGGATTTCCGATACACCTGGTTGGGAAGATTCGCGAAGCCCACATAGCCCTCCAGGTTCCGCTGCTGATGCACAGAAGACACAAACACATTGGTTTAATGTAAGCAAGTCGGTGCAAAAATGTAAGTTACATGCCAGAAGTGTTTACTTTGCAAAAAATGGCTGAGTCAAAGCATTGGGAAGTCATTACTGATGTCAGAAAACTGTTACTTCGACATGCATGAATACAAATGCCTACAACTGGAGCTGTTCACAAATGTAATGAGTCGAAACAATGCTGTTTGAAATTAACCTGCAATTAGAATCGCTGCAATTAGAATTCTTGCAGAAAGAGTGCTGCTTTTAAAGAGTATCAAGCACTGCACAAAGGACGGAGGTGACCTGGGAGAAGCGAGATGAGATGATGTTGGTGCAACGAAGATGAAATAAAGCAAATCAATAGAGATTCACACCAAGACACACAGTGGAGTAAAGATAACGTAGCATGAACATCCCGTTCTGCAAAATCCTACATTCTGAATAGATTCCATGGGATGTGATGAAGATCTCAGGTCATTAAGATCTCAGGTCAAAAGCGGCTGCAATCTGTCCGATCCGTGAGGTATTGCCCAGCTCCGCTTCTCTTTCGTTTGACTCCCTATCTAGCATTGTACTCGAAAACAAACCCCTGCTGCACCCAGCGCCCACGCCTGCCAAACTGTCGTACACGCTACGAGAGGCAAAAACAATTGATTGTTGCTTTGCCTGCCTCTGAGCAACCTCTCAGGCTCTGCCCTACATAGTGTGAATGGAAAAATGCTGTTTTGCACACATGATAGACAAAGTTTCATAATATACAGTTGAAAATATGATGACAAATAAAACAGTGATAAAAATGATTACTATAAGACCGGTGAGATGCGCTTGTGTCTCTGTGAGGTGACGGATGAGCTGAACTCTTAGTTTTCTAATATCCTCACAACAGTAATGCAATATTTGGTTGGACATTAAAGGCATTCAAGTAAAATACAGTTACTTTCATGTTTCCACAAAAGGGTTTGCAGTATCTGCAAAGAGTTGCTTTGATCTTTCATCAACTTACTCTCTCCCATTATAGTCACTTAAATTAAGCTCCTTTAGAGTTTGATTCAAAGTCGGGCGATCCATTTGAAATTGGGACAATTTTCAAATTGTGCAAAAATTGATGCACAGCTGGCTAAACTCATTAAAGACATTGTGTCTCTCTCTTTGAGTTTTTACGCACAGCCAGACCATGCATGCTAAAACAAAAGTGTGTCATCCAGTAGAACTGCACTACGCTAAAAATCAACAACCAACCAGTCCAGTATGGCTGAGGGGACTACATTCCATCATGACACAATCCATCCGCCTTGTCAATGTCCTCGCAGCTCCAATGATCTTGCATGAAGCACTTAACCGATTCCATGTTTGATCAGGCTCCACTTAAGTTGTGAGTGTAGGTGGGAAAGGAGACAATTTGTTGCACACCATTATATAACAGGCCATTTTTTTTTTGATGGTACACCCACCTTCACGCACAGCTCAGAGCCACAGATAATATGACATACTGCATTTGGCATTATCATTTCCCCAAATGAATAAAGTGTGAAAGTGGGATGTCAGAAAGCTTCACTTAAATGTTGATGAAAACATGGATACACACAAAAAATGTGTTAGCATGCAAAGGAACAGATGTTAGGGGAAAGGGTTTCAGTATAGTATGGTAGCAAAGGTTGGATGTTGGCTTATTATTCCCTTAGTATTATGGTACACCCAGAGGAAAAATATGTAAGAGGAGATGAAAGAGTGACAAAGAGCCTGAAAAGCTCAGCCATACTCTTCATGTGAACCCTTCCCCCAGTCTACATTCTGGTCATAGTCACTGCGTGGTTCACTCCATTTGATGTATGATGTCTCACACTCACTCACGCACGCACGCATCCTGGTGGTGATGCTGGAAATTCCGTCAGTTCAATTTTCCTTGCCATCTTTTAATAATTTCTTTTAAATAGCATGTTAATTGAGGAGCAGGGGGGAGCAACGTCGTCCTGAATGTTTCATTATGGACATTTTCCTAGCATGCCAGCCCATGTCTGTGGCAAAACGCTCATGAATTTAACCAAAGCAATTTCTTCTGCTACATTGAAAAGAGTTTACGGCATTACCAAAATACAAACTAACATCCCAAGAATATCTATTCAGCGACGCATCTCCTGCACCCATTTTATTTTAGCTCTCCTTATATTAACTGTGCTCCGATCTTTGATGGGAGTCATGATACATTTTTCCCCCACGAGTAATTTCCAAATGCATGAGAACGGCGAATAAATGTCAAATTGTGTGGGGTACGTTTGAAAAACGGGTAGTTTTAACGAATGAGTAACTACGCTTCAATCTCCCAATTCTGAAATGACTTGAAGTGCATGAGGGCACGAAGCTAACATGGAGTAACGTGAGAAACTACGTTTTGGATGAGAGGATTGAGTCTTTGCGAAGAGGGTACAGTTGTGTATTTTTCCTGCATACATACACTAAGCTCAATGCTGACACGCGTGGCTATTTTGGAAAAAAAAAAGACTTACAGCAATGCTTGGAACCGCAGTTTCTGGTCGCTCGATCATTGTAATGCTGTCACCGCCCAGCCTGCAATGGACAGTCACCAATGCATACACAGACAAGCGTCCAAGAGAATGACGGAATGATAAGAAATGCGCGTTTTGCCCTGCAAGTGTGCCTTCTTGATAATAAACTAAAACACCGGGCGTCAAACTAAACAACAAATATATTACATGTGACGAACTAACAGCAGTCGCAACACAGCCAACAGACGAATATCCGCGAAGAAAATAGGCCGCCTGATTTTGTCCACTACTGGTTTACTTCGATTCTATTCAATACTATTTCCGACTGGAAACTTCAGGATAAAATTTTAACTTTGATGTAAACGTAGCTTTAGAGCTGAAACATAATTTATTTATCGTGTTCTGCTTGAATGAGATTATCAAATTTCTAGCTACATTTTGAGGTGCGGTTTTCTCATTAAAAATAATATACAACTGTACCCCAATAAAAATGTGTTTTAATTTGAACGCAGGAACTATTCTGACTTTTTACAGTCCTGCATTGAATACCAGAAAATAGAAGCATCGCTTTAGATCCGATTAACGTTACAGCCAATGATTGGACTATTGCAACCCAGCTAAGGTTTTAATCTCTTGTTTTGAAAACAACTGCTGTACACTTCCTGTGCTGTGCAATTTAGAAACAGGAAGTCGTAGTACAAGAGAAACCGCAAATGCATCTTCGCATGGTTCCATACGGACGTCCTATGTGGGTTTAACTGTTTTGTTCAGAGTCAGAAGCATCTTTATTGGCCAAGTATGTAGAACACACAAGGAATTTGTCTCTGATAGTACAGGCTACACTTGTATAATCATAAACAGGGACATGACAAATAAGTATGGAAATGTTAAAGAGTACCGTTGTGCGGTAAAACCACCAGTGGCGGTTCTCGATCAATTTCACTGAGGGGGCCTGGCTGAGGCCAGGGGTTTTGATAGAGGGGGCACATTCAAACCAGGGCAAAAAAGACAAAGATTCGAAATCTTATTTGACTTTTTATTTTCATCAAACTTTTAAACCTTTGCAGACATAACATTACAGTGACGATGAAAAACAGTATAATAATCACAATAGTTCTGTTCTGAATTAAGTGCTGATAAAAGATTAATATAGGTGCAGATCTTGTGGAACAGTCCTAAGCTGCAAGTACTATTACAGCAACTGTATTGTGCGATTTTGGTGGTTTCTGGCAAACCGTCTGAAGTGATTCAAGATTCAGTGCTTTTGACCTCCATTGGCGGGCTTCTTTACATTTGCTGGTATCTGTGGAGAAAGACATACAGAATAGATATAAACATAATTTCTGCATGGACACAGCATATACACTAAGCTGCTCCACTTACACTGCTTAGGCACTCAGACACACACAATTATCTAAAATGTATTTAGGAATGTTATTTATTAATTGCATTAAATAAATAATTTATTCATTTACTGTATTCAGTAAAAATAAATAAATATATTCTAAAGCCTGACCAGGGACTAAAATTGCAAATACACTGAAGCTAGATGTTTTACATGCATCTACCGATAATTGTCCCAATGTTAAAAGGCAATGTCTCATATATTGTTCCTGTTAAATAAACATAAAAAATGGATATTAAAACACACACACACACACACACACACACACACACACACACACACACACACACACACACACACACACACACACACACACACACACAAACACACACAGAACAGGATAGTGTTTTTTTCAATTCCATACCTGATGGTCCAGTGCTTGTAGACGCACATATATTCTCAGTCTCAGTTTCGTCATTCCCAGGATCTTCATCTGTCTCTCTTTCTTGCTCTGTGTCCTCTCTCCGAAAATAAGTATCTCCCATGTCCGCTGACTCTCCCTCTCCGGTGCTTTCAACTTGCTCCTCTTCAGCTCTCTCACCACCATCATCTGGCTCTGTCTCAGTGTCTGAATCATTTAGTCTCTTTTTCATGTAGAAATAGGATGTAATGCCCATTTTTTTCCTCTTCATTTTTAACTTTTAATTTTTATAGTGAAGAGGAATTACATTTAAGCAACCCAACTGTTGCGGGCTTGCTTGGTTTTGTGTTGTGGCCTTACCTTGACAATGTAATATGACTCGCAGTCGTGTTAATCTTGGTACTGTTTCTCTGGGGGCTGCTTCTCATATTCACGCTCGTGTTTTTTCAGTGGCGCAGCATACTCAAAGGTCCAACTAGAATGTCAGGGGGGGGGGGTGTTGGTTCAGAATCAGTGCGACAGGGGCACTGGCCCCTCTTGGCCCCTCCCTAGAACTGCCACAGGGTACCACCGAATGACAGCTGTGAGACAATGTGTACAGTATCAAGCAGAGCTAAAGTGATCAGTGGTAGAATACAATACTATAACAGCTGTGCAGTTGGTGCAGAAAATCATTGCACCAGTTTAAAGTGACCAGTAGCAGTATTTGTAGGACAACAAGTGTGCAATTGTGCAGATGTCCCCGAGTGCTTTGAAGTGTCTGGTGCTGTGGAATATACCTATAGATCAGTGACAATGTTTCAAGGAAGTACAGAGCTGGAGCTACAATGATTATACCTTAATGCTGTTCCACAAGCTTGTGCAAAATTGCAGAGAGCCACTGTACAGGTAGATTTGGGTTACTGTTTAGGGAGTTAATGGCGAGAGGGAAGAAGCTGTTTGAGTGTCTGCTGGATTTGGTGCGCATGGATCGGTAGCGCTTGCCTGAGGGGAGTAGCTGGAAAAGGTGGTGGGCAGGATGCGGGGGGTCCAGTATGATTTTCCGTGCCCTTGTCTTGGTTCTTGCAGTGTGCAAGTCCTCAAGAGTGGGTAAGACAGTGCCAATGATTTTTTCCGCTGTTCTAACTGTCCGTTGCAGTCGGAATTTGTCCTCTTTTGTGGCTGCTCCAAACCAAACCGTGATGGAAGAACACAGGATTGATTCGATGACTGCAGTATAGAACTGTCTTAGCACCTCCTCTGGCAGGCCATACTTCCTCAGCATCCTCAGGTAGTACATCCTCTGATCGGCCTTTTTCAGGTTGGAGTTGATTTTGACCTCCCACTTCATTTCCTGGGAGACTGTGATTCCCAGGAACTTGAAGGTCTCGACAGTTGACACAGGGTAGTTGGATAGTGTGAGGGGCAGCTGTGGTGAAGGATGTTTCATCGTTGATGATGTTGTCCTTCCCAGCCTCACCTGTTGTGTCCGCCCCGTCAGGAAGCTGAGGATCCATTGGCAGATCATAGGGGACACACCGAGCTGGAGAGGTTTGGAGATGATGGTGTTGAACGCAGAGCTGAAATCCACAAACAGGATCCTTGCTTAGGTTCCTGTGCTGTCCAGGTGCTCGAGGATGTAGTGCAGCCCTATGTTGACTGCATCTCCACAGACCTGTTTGCCCAGTAGGCAAACGGAAGAGGGTCCAGCAGGGGTCCGGTGATGTTCTTTAGGTGGTTCAGCACAAGGCGTTCAAAGGACTTCATGACCACAGACGTCAGAGCGACGAGCCTATCATCGTTCAGTTCCGATGTTGCTGGTTTCTTGGGAACTGGGATGATGGTAGACTATTTGAAGCAGGATGTGACCTCACACAGCTCCAGCTCGATCCATTAGCCTTGAATGACTCATTATGTGCTTGAAAGCCCACAATATTTCTCGTTACTCAAATAATTCATATATATTTTTACGAACTGGTTGAAGATAGATTTTTTAAAAATAAATTATTTTAAAAACTAATTTGCCACTGAGGTTGTTGCATTTTATACATGTACTGTATCTCTCTGTATGATGAAAGAACGCTCACAGCAGGCCTCCTACATCAGCGTATCTTCCTTTCTGCTATGCCACCAAGTGGTGTTCAGCGGGATTGCACATTATCAAAATAAAACAGCCTTTTGGGAGTAATTACCGATTTCAGAGCAACGTAACTCAGAAGACCAAGAATGATAAACAACGTATATCCATTTTGGATTCATTCTGATTATACCTCTACACATTACTTTGACATAAAAACGAAACTGTATTTAATCCTTGGTATTTTTTTCATAAAACTTTAATCGTAAAGAGTTGCCACCTACTTATTGAAAAAACTGAGAGGTATTTTTTATGTATTGATTAATAAAAGTGGTACACACTTCTGAGTGAAAACATTGCTCAAATATATCCTAAATTATATTTTATTAATATTACTAATTATATTCATCAAAGGTGGCCCGGTGGTCCAGTGGTTAGCACGTCAACCTCACAGTGCAGCGGTACCGGGTTCAATTCCAGCTCCGGCCTCCCTATGTGGAGTTTGCATGTTCTCCCCGGGCCTGTGTGGGTTTTCTCCGAGTACTCCGGTTCCCTCCCCCATTCCAAAAACATGCATGGCATGCTGATTGAACACTCTAAATTGTCCCTAGGTGTGATTTTGAGCCTGGATGTTTGTTCGTCTGTATGTGCCCTGCGATTGGCTTGCAACCTTTTCAGGGTGTCTCCCACCGACTGCCCGAGGACGGCTGGGATAGGCTCCAGCACCCCTCGCGACCCTTGTGAGTCTAAGCAGATCGGAAAATAGATGGATGGATGGATATTTCTCAAAGTAAAGACACTGATAATAGTAATGATTTCTTATCAATAATGACTTGCTGAGATGTGGAACAGGGAAGTATTCATAATCAACACTTTATTTTCATACTGTGTAAATCTGCAAGTGTTTACATTTTTACTTCAGCAGCATTCTCAGGAATTCATCATGTCCCCTCACTGGTGAGCCGTTTATGGAACAGTCCCTTGGGCTCCTCATGTGGTCCTCAAAGGCGCCATGTTGGTAATCCCCAGTCCAGAATATATTCATCATTCATTAGGTTCGGGGTATAGTGAAGGTTACAACTGATTTGTCATTCCTGGGATTATTTTGGCATCAAGCTCGTTGATGAGGTTTTTCACCCATGAGGCTGAAGATCTGGCACACATGTAACGACCCATCACTGTCCTCAGTCTGTAAGAATATATACACAAGACAGTTGGTTTATCGTGATTCAAATGTGATGATAAAGCTCAATGTCTTCAAGACTGGGCACCAACCTCACAGCAGGAATGGCACACTGTTGCGGAGTCTTGACATAACTAACTACTCGCTGTGAGGCAATTGGCTTCTCATTGAAATGATAGCAACAGTTCTTCGGTCCAAATCCCCGCAAACCTACAAACAAAGAGCCCAAAATCAACAACTCAGCATTATATAAGAAAACAACTGAATTACAGAAAAGAACATACGTACACTAAAACTCAAGAAC